CCTGCATAAGCAGCCAGAAGTACACGCGAAAAAAAGGAAAGTGCTTTATTATGTTGTTGGTACATCAACTAAAGTGACACTGCGAAGCTTTACCGAAGGCTTTAAAGGCCCAAATTAGGAATGTGTACTATTGATGTTAAAATACGAAACATAAATATTTGTAATATTATATTAACTAAGGTTAAAGTTGGACACCATAAACATTTATGTAAGATTTCGATAACCGAATATTTTATTCAGGCGCTCAGGTGAGTATATACCCTTATCAGGCGATAGACAAATCATTTTTGGAGCGAAGCAGGTTCAGCAAATGCTTAGCGGTATAAGCGGTGACTACATTTTTTGCTTTATCGTTTCAGGGTCACCCTCGTCAAAGAAGTAAAGGGCGTCTATCACGCCATTCCAAGCATGTGGGCTTATACTGGCCCTATGTTTTAACGGCAGATGAACAAAATAAATATTATGAACGCCCATGCTTTTTTTGCGAATTCCTTTAATTTTAAAGACTACCAGATGGATTGAATCCCTCCCAATATGCGTAGAAACATGAGTGAGGTGTACTGGCAGTGGACACCCAGTGGCTTTTGTGTAATTGCACGTGCCCTGCGAACACAGATTCAAGTATGTCACATACCATCTATTATTCTTTTGAAGTCCAGAAGCTCTAAATCAAGTGATGTCCATCACCCATCACCATTATATTGCGTTTCATTGTGACGAAATCATCATATCCACAATACTGTCCCTTGAATCTGTGTCGTGACTACCTTTCATTTAGAGGACTAGAGACATCTTGGCTTTTAACATGACATCCACAGTAAGTTTGTTATTTATTCTAATACTTAAAAATTCGTTTTTGGATTTCACAGAAATCGGCAGGTGCTTAAATATCAAATGAAGATCTAGAATGATTCTTTGTTTCCAAAAGCACACACACACACATAATTTTCTATCAAGCAAATCATTAGATCCATTTTCATTGGCCCTGTTTACAATATTGTCGATGTGTAGTTATATCGTACAGGCACAGGAATACCCTAGCACATAAATTTATTTTTGCCAACAGATCACCTAACACTAAGCACACCGCCCTGTGGTATGCCGCTAAAGCGTTTTCTATCATAATAGTTGTAAACATCTAAACACAGGACTCGACTTGTATAAAACGTTTTGTTGCCGGCTGTTATTTGTTGTGTTTGACAAGCATACACCAACTCATGTTTCCAAACAAACCGGAGCGCCCCTAGCGGACGCCGCCGGCGCCGCGCATGCGCGATGGGGGTGTGGGCAAGAAGCTCACCGTCGCCAATAAACAAACCATTGAAATGCGATGTTGTTGGCGTCGGTGTGAATCCCCCTGCCGTGTTTCGCGTTCGAATTGTTGATTCTACATCTTCCTGGCGATGTCTATCTTGAGCGGCGTCAGCGAAATTACCGAGGCTCGTTACACCGCAAAACTTCGCGTGAATAATGTGACATGTGGCGATTCATTCCGCGCGGACAGTGCACTATGTACGCTAAAGCCTGATTCGCATAATGAGATTGCGCTCGCAATTTTCAGTCGTGACGCCGCTCCGGCTGCAAAAGCGTGGACCGTAGCTGAGATGGTCGACGTCAATACTGAAAATCGCAAGCAGAATCTAACCAAGTGAATCAGGCATAACAAGTCGTTGATGGCCACTGGTAACAATTAATATCTCCTTGTAGCTACTGTTTACATCAAGACTGCTTACCAACCTCCAAACTCGAGTCTTTTGAGGCCTGCACTTACTTCTTATCGCAAGTACCGGACCAATATTTGGTCTACGAGCCGGTGTAGTCTAAAAGAGCAGAAGACAAGCAGAATCGTTTGAAAGAGCAGACGACAATTCGAACGATCAGGCGGCCGTTTGAACTTGAAGACGCACTGAACGGAATTTGCATGTGGTCCGTACAACATGACGGTTTTCAGGCATTCATGTTGGAAAAAAACAAATAAATTTGATGACCACAAGTATTCGTGAATTCAACCCAAAGTGCTACCCGCCCAAGCAATCGTGGTCCGACGGCATCTGGTTTTCCCTTTTCACGGCAAATTTCCACGTTCTCGGGCGAACCGAGTACATGAAAACTGACCTTTAAACCTTTCTCGACTCTTTTGGTACAAGCCCAGTCGCAGTATTTTGACGAGAAGGCAGGTTTTTTCTCTGGTTCCTTTCAAAACAACGCAGGAATACACGTCTGACATGGGGACTTCCGCCCACAGCTCCAGACCGGAAGTGCGCCCGGCGCGCCACCACCACGCCGTGACGTAACAGAAATGGGTTTGTGTATACTCAATCAGGCTCAAAATTTAAGAATAATGACTGTTCCATCAGGCTGCAGAGACTATTCAAAGAGTTCCAGCTAACAGAAATATCTCGCAGGCCTACGAGTGTAAAAGCCGGGCTTATTTAGTCGTCTTTACGCTGTATGTTTGAAAAATGTGGCCCCATGGGCAGCTGAAACGTCCACTGCAAAGTATCCTGCTGGCCTCCGCCTGTGCGGTCTGGCAGCTAGTGACAAAAAATGGTCTTGTTCCACCATTCTAATTCACGGACATCTTCTGCAGAGGCATTGAGAATCATATCTCCCAAGCTCTGCCGGTTTCGACATGAGCGGGCATTTTGTTTGCGTGGATTTGTAGATCACTACTACGAGGGGCACCCTACAACTTCCAGGACGGCAGACCTGCAGCGCTCGCCCGAAATTCCCCACTACAGCTGTAATACATTTCCAGACTTGAACAGACGGAAGCTCTCTACAGTAGATAACGAGAAGAGATTCATGGAAGAAAGCTGTATCGGTTTAAGCTTAATTCCTTCCTAACTTTTTAGTGGCCATGCAAGTAGCACAAAGGAAATGACTGGCTCGCTTTGTCCTGGTTTTGTGGCCTCGCTTAGAAGGCCCATATCTAACTAAGTACCTATCCAGGAGTTACACTGACATTTGCAAGCTGGATCAAACCTTTACCAAGATCCAAATGCAAAAAAGGCTGGATACCAAGAGGCTACAAAGCACATGGTCGTTCAGCCTGTCAACTATTAATACTCATATGAAATCCAAATTAAAATATACCTACCCAGCAACCAGCCACCGGGCATGCCCCCAGCCTCGAACCTCTCCGACAAGTCGGAGTTGCGCCACATACAACTGTCATGCGTGCTCTCCGGCCACTTCACAGTGAGCTGTGTGATTTCGTTCGACGCATCGCAGACCGCTTGCACATTCAGGAAGTCGTAGCCTTTCCTGTTTCGGTAGATGTTCTGGTCCTTCTTCGCATTCTTGTGGGCAATGTGCGTGCCGTCGATGCACTCCAGCTTCTTGGGGAATACATTGATTTCCGCAAGGCCTATAGCTTAAAACAGTGAAGTGTTCAACATTTTGTGAAGCAGCCCTATTGAAAATTCCATCAAGATACGTAATTTGGGACACTGACTGCCAGTCAGCAGCCTTGGTGGAACGTGATAAACCATCAGACGTCATCTGATGGTCCATCAGATGACGTATGACTGCACTGCCAAGGGAATTTCATCAACAAGGGCAGCATTTATATAAGAGTAAAGCTATACGCACTCATAAATATCACCAAATGCCTCAATAAAACAAAATGTTCGAGAAAGAAAAAAAAAAAAAAGCAGGACCACCGCAGACCGAACTCGCGACCACTTGCGTACAAATCGGACACCTTAACCCCTATGCTATGCCATCGCTTAGGAAACTCGATTTGACCATTCGTTTTATATGAGATGCTTCGGCTGCAAATGCAGTTAAGCATTCAGCATGTTATGCAAAGCACTCGTACATCACTCGCCGTACTTCAGTTCTACTCAGCTGCCATGTAGAGTACTTTCGCGCCGTAGAGCGATCCTTTTGTTCGCGCGTCTCCGGCCCACTAGACTTGTACACCTTGTCGTCTTCAACTACACCGCTAAAGTCCCTTACATCGTCGGAATTCACAACAGGCTGGGTCTTGTCGAGTAGAAATTCTACTAAAACATAAGACATTGCAGAGCCCTGGCAGGATCGACAGGTTGGAGCAAGCGGGCAAACAAAACGAGTCGAGAGCGATCGTTCATGAAAGCTCGGCGAAGCCTCTATGGGCGAAGCGAAGTGGCTTGTTCGGCGTTTAGGCGGGCTTCTGATCAAGGTTGTCGGTCGGCTGCATGTCATATCTCTAACATCAGTGGTTTTATGGGCTCACGTCCCGAGATCGTTTTCTTCTGCATAGATTGTTTTTCGTATTCATAGATTTGAGGAAATAGTGGTATCCGAACAAACTTTACGTCCTTTGACCTTACGTCTGTCTGCACGTCAAAGCTTTTCGACGTACAGTCAGAGCCAATCGATGTACAAATCAGAATCGCCACCAAGACATCTTGATGGCATTTCGCGACGGCCGACTGCCACCAGGAAACCATCAGAAAACCGACAAGTGGAGTCTGACTGGAGTTTGACTGTCGGTCAGAGTAACTTGTTGGCCAATTAGACGGGAGAGCGCCTTTAGAATGCGCGACACTAGAGCGCCGACGTTAAAGCGCGCGACTCGAGGGCGCTGCGACAGTTGCGCGCAAGACACTAGAGCGCACGTCACGAGAGCGCATGACCAGTTGAGCGCGTGACACGAGAGCGCACGACCAGTTGAGCGCACGACACGAGAGCGCACAATCTGCAGTTGAGCGCGCGACACGAGAGCGCACCCCAGTTGAGCGAACACCGCGAAAATGTGTGATGTACCCGCGGCCGCACAAACAGAACAAAATTGTGTGACTCATCGGATTGAAGCATTGGTGATTTTTAATTCACTGAATATGCCTTTAATAAAAAATAAAACGGGTGCGACTCTTTCTAACTAATTGTTTACTGACATCGGAGAGAAAATGGAGTAAGGGTGTGGGCTGGGGCATATAGGTACCGGGAAAGTTTGCAGTTGAGTGGAGCAGCGAGTTTAAGATTTCTTCACAGTGCTGCGGTGTTCCTCTTGGATATACTATAAATAGTTTACCTTTTGCTATATTTTTTCTATTTTTTACAGGCATTACGGCTCCAATCTATTTGCTGGCTATTTAGACGTCCCTCGCGTCAATATAAATAGTATTCTGACATCCATGTCCGCAATGAAGAAAGCTCACCACTAAAAAAGTATAAGCAAAATCACCCATCGAAGGAAAGCTCAGCGCAATTTTATGGGATGCAGATCTTTCCAGTCTTTTGACGGATACAAGAAAACCTCGCCTGCAAATCTGGGATATACAGAATCAAAGAACTAATGAAGCTAGGCCAGCTGCAATATTTTTTTTTCTGCAAAAATACACGCTACAAATATATATATATACATATAGTTTTTTTTTTTGTTTTTGCTCAGTTTTTTGTAACCCTTCTTGGTTTGCCACACGCAAACATTTCGTCGACTCATTTCGCAGTCATTGCTGAATTCCGCGGCATAAATCCCTGCCAATATTAGATAAAACATGCGATGCCCGAACAAGTGGTCGGTCCGTTCGGGCCACTCGCGCTGGACTGGTTGTGCGCTCTCGTGACGGGCGCTTTACAGGACACGCGAGCTAATAGGGAGTTTTTGTAGACTGTTTTCCCCGCTCCGCTGTGCTCTCCAGAAGGAAGACGCCACAACTGCGCATGCGCGGCGCTAGCCTTTCCTGCAGAGTCCCCGATCTCGTAGCGGGTTGCGGAGAACGCTGCGGGACAGCGGAAACGACCTACGAAAACTCTCTAAAGTCGCTGCGTTGTCAAGTCGCGCGCGCTAACGTCGCCGCGCTCTAGCGTCGCGCGCGCTAACGTCGTGGCGCGCTACTGTCGGCGCTCTACTGTCGGCGCTCTAATGTCGTGCGCTCTAGTATTGTACAGCCAATTAGACATGCTAGACGTACAGTCAGGCACAGTCAGCGGTCCACTAGGAAACATCGACTGCCAAACAGGGTTACATTGATGGATTTTTCCTTCGGGAGGGGACATCCTGGATATTTCATTTACCACATTAAAATATATACAAAAATTGGTCTATCAAAGAGATGACCTCTAAATACTCATACCTCAATTAAAGCACTATCGCACCCATTTAAACACTATTACCAAAAAAAAAAAGGAGGGTTTTAGAGGGGGAGGGGGGGGGGGGCAAAGAGTGCTTTTGTTAGTTCTCATGGGCATTGCATGAACAATGCATTGCTGACCGAGAGTCTCGGTGACCATTCCACACAATGCCGTTGCTCACGTCAATCTATACAACTTCGTTCGCGTCAATGAAAGTCGCACTCATTAGGGTCATGCGGGAGGCATGACCCTAATGAGTGCTCACTTGATCGAATGACGTTTTAGCGAATGCCCACGTTCCCCCCGATTAAAGCTGATAAGGCTGAGTAAACGCGCTAACTATTCGCACTGAAATAAATAACAGGGGTAACTAACGAGCACGGCATTGGGGAAACACTTACCGCGTGAAGTACGCATTGCTGCCTGCGGGGTCACGGGGAACTTGATCCCTTTTTCAGCGAAGTGGCAGAGCGCGCTGCTCACCGAGTTTATGATGCGCGAGGCACTCGTCTGGCTCATATTCCCCACGTCGCCCACCACCGACTGAAAAGTGCCTCTCGCATAGGAGCGAAGCGCCAGTAGTACTTGGGCGTCCACGGGGAGCGCACAGTCAACCCCCGGTCACAGTCCCAGTTTCGCGGCGCTGACATTAGCGTCGCCACCATCAGCGGCGCTGTGCATAGCGTCGCCACCGGCAGCAGCGCTTAGGTGGTGGGGGGCTCTCATTAATACAAAAATACAAATATAAAACTTTGTCCGCTAACAGTAATTTCAACAAAACGTCTTCACCGCACCATGAAAATAAAATGCAATTTATTTTATATATTTCTTTCTGTTCGTTCTGTTTTCGGTCTAAAACCAAAACTCTAAACCGACCCGCTGGCCTCGCCGGTGTCCTGAAAGGCGCCGCTGCCCCCCCCCCCCCCCCCTTCCCTTCGCTCTACCCTCGCCCAAATTTGAAACTTCGTAACGGCGGACGGCGGCGTCGCGTAGTTTTGTTTACCCAAGGGTCGTGCGAGCGTAGTTTCGCGCTCCGGCGTTCCGCGCGCCTGTCGAACTCGATGGATATTTTGGTGCGAACTTTCAGAGACTGTTGAGAGGTGCATTTTACGTGGCTATATCCCGATGGTGCACGAACAGCGCAAATGCCAAGACCACAAGTTTTTGTTTGTTTATTTTTTTTTTCAAGATAAGGCAGGTGAGTATGTATCTCCCGTACTCAGTTTTATTTGCTCAGCGAACTTACCATTAAACTTCTGCTGCCCATAGCTGTTAGTTTGCAGGCTCGTTCTCGCAGTAAAAACATATGCTTTCCCCCGAACAAGTACGGTTTTAATGAAGTTAATGGTATACACCTAGCTCCACTTCGATTTGTGCACAACTGCTTATTTAAAGTGTAACAATTGGGTTTAATCTTGAAAATGGTCTTTGGCGGTCCTCGAACAGACGGAGGATAATAAAACAAAAGAATGAGGCTTCCTATATATTAATTTGAAGTTTCATTTATTTCTGCATGGTTCCGGGTGCGACAATGGCATTATGTCATTAGTTTGTTCGCTGTAGATGGACATTTGTTTTGTTTTAAATCAGTTTAAAATTTTAAACATCATGACCACATTGTCATTACAGATGCTGGGACATATAGAACGAGCATTTGAACGTCGTCTCAAGGAGGAAGAAAGCTTCGGACACTTCGTGGTTCCCAACAAGTTATCCAGCCTGTTGAGTGCCAACATTTTTCGAAGCTTTATTTCACATTTTCATCTTGCTTGCGTGAGAAGCTTTGAATATGTAAAAATGAAGGTAATGATATCTGGGGGCCACCTAAGTAGCTTATATTTCTTAAATCAGTGAACAACTTTACTTTCAGTGAACAGCTGATCCAACTTGGCATGTTGAATGCGTAATTATGTGGGTCAATGTGTACACTTGTAAAGATATATGTTCGTGACCATTCCCAAGAAGTGATAGTGATAAAGTTAGTGATAAAGCCCATTCCCAAGAAGGTGTGCGGCCAAGCATGTAATAATGAAGTGATGAGATCGTGCACAGATGACAGAGAGGTGCTGGCGATGTGCAACTGCAGCTGTGGGCGAGGTTGACGAAATGATTTTGCCAATGTTTTATTTTTGCGCGTATGCAGGTGCAGTGCTGTACTTAATTCCGTTTTAGCATCTGTGCAATAAATGTGCCTCGAAATATTTCGGTCGCAGCTGTGGATTCCTTACTGGACGGCGGGACGCCTCGAAACAGAAGAACAACGAACACACATGACTACGCACCTTATACAGCTGAAAGCGAAATCGCACATCGTATATTACGTTAGGGACTTTTAGCGAACTGTTACCGTGTTCCGCGTACTGCACTATCGGAGCCTTTGAAACATGCTTTATAGGCGCGCACCCGGAGTGATACCGTGACAGCGGGGCGCGCACTTAAAAGCATGCTTCAAAGGCTCCGATAGTGCGATACGCGGAACACGGTTTGTTAAAAGTCCCTATTATTACACTACCGGGACCGGGCGTGATGCTCAGGAGCCTGCATCCAGGCTCCAGCACGACCCCGAAGCGATCCATACGAGAACCACCCTACAAAAATAAAGAAACGCCATGTTGGATTCTTTACGGCTTGGCTTAGAAACGGCTTCAAAGTAGGCTACTACGTCCCAAACGTGTATATAGAAGTCGTTTTGAAAAGTAAGCCAGATATTTTATTAATAGCATGGTTAGCTCTTAATATAATTTTACAATTTACCGAATATAAAATAATAAGTTAACTCGTTCAAGTAATGAGAGCCCCCCACCACGGACGAGGAATTCGGCGCTACTGTACAAAACTCGACTCCATTGGCCCTATGGAATCCGTCCGGGGGTTGTTCCGAGCCGTCGGACGGCGGAGCGCAGGTGCGAGCGCCTCGCAGAGTCTCTCCATGGCAGGTCTCGGGAGACGGTAGTACCGTGCCAGATGGTTATCGGCGATGGTGTCGAGTGTCCGAGGAGTGCGGAACACACGTTGCTGCCGTAAATTCCGCTCAGCGTCGCGCTGCTGCTGAAGCAGGTAGACGACATACGCGGCAGCCATTTTGGTTACAAGTCGCCAAAACGTTCGTAAGATCGATCGGACCCCTGTCGTAGGATTTCGTTCTAACTTACGCAAAACTTACGAACATTTTGCCTCGGGAATACTCAAAAGTTTGTAACTCTGTCGTAAGATAAATTTACGAACATTAACTTGAGCATCGCAATGTCCGAATTATAGTTGCTGTAGTTTGATAGCCGCCGAAATGTCAAAAGTTGATAAGGGAATCGATTAACTCAAGATACTTTTCAACAACACAGCCCCTTATTGGGTTCGTCCCCTTGTCAGCTGAATAATCACTATGAGTATTGGCGAGGAGATCGAACTATAGGGGGCGCTCTGACCCGTTTGTTGTCCCCACACCTCAATGTTTGCCCAACACAAGGCCTGTGGACATGCCCACAAGCCTTGTGGTCATTTTTACGCGTCTTCACGTCAAAAATACTAACGATAAACGAGGTGACGTTTATTGTTAATGCCTGATCCCCCCAAAAGCAGTCGCAGAGAATGCCAGCTTGACACACTTCGGCTGTTGTTCTGAGCTGTGCATAAACACCGTGTATTGTGCATTGTTCATGCAGGCCCGAGTGATAAAAAAAAGAGCCCCTCCTCCCCATCAGGCGACTGAAGAACACGAACTCCAGCCAAACGCTGACGCGGCGTTCGTCTAAGTAAGCCGAGTGCTGAGTTATTTTTATTTCTTCACCCCATCCGTGTAGCACTAAAGTTAGCCGCTTCGGGCGCCACAGCCTGATTTCCTCCCCAATAGCGGATCAACGAGACACCTCGAATTTTACCTCCAGTCTGGCACGTGACACAATCATTTTCGCGAAAATTCTTCGACTTCGGTGTTTAGACCAATATATTTTAGTTTGTTTAATTTATGTACGCCTCATCTGTTAGTATATAAAGGTAGAGTTAAAACCTATTGTTGTTTGTTGTTTTTTATTTACTAACTAGATGCAAAACAGTTGTTTAAAACGTAACCAAAAATGTATTACTAACTTTTGCTAGTGAACAATTTTTGTTCTGAGTGGGTCGCCGCACTGGAACCGGCGTTTGTTTCATATGAAACACATATCATGTGAACGTCACTGAGGGAATTAAACGTGATTTCCATTCGTGCGCTATTACTTCAAAGCTAGGACAAAGTGACATGGAATATTTTTTTATGTGCGTGTTGTGTATTGACGAAAACAACAGCCGACAATAATGCTATCTCTAGAAGAATTCTATGTCCATCATGTCATGTTTTATGGGCGCCCTGCTCCGCCTAATGGTTTTTATGCAGCACTGATGAAAATGCAGCAAGAATGTTTTCGCTGCTTTAAGTAAGTTACGAAAACGGCACGTCAAGTTTTGGTCACGAAAGACAGACACAAAGTCAAAAGTTGAAAAGAAGAGAAAAAGTAACTATAACATTTATATTTCCTTCATTAAACGTTGAGGGGAGATACCTGTTTGGTAAAACGTTTATTGCGATATTTTAAAGGGACGGTGATATTTCACATATTCATGTGAAATAGTTTTTTTTTTCACTATATATGATATTGCTGACACTAGTGTGACCCTAGTATACTCGCAAGCAACGCCATTGACCAAAAAGCCTCTTTGTTGCGGTTTAAACTCAAGAATAAAAGAGAGCATTTTCTTTCAACCTCTACATCGCAAAACTCGATAACGTGGTTTGGAGGTCGCAGTGTCCCCGAGTGGCAATGCTTGAATGCGGTTCATAGATTGCACCCGAGAATTGCGTGACCACTCGACTTGGGCTCAAGATAATGAATAGCTCGACAAACATTAGAATAGTGACACGTGCTCTATCGCTTATGACGACAATAGCCGAATGCTAACAATGTCTGGAACTCAGCGAGTGTCATGTGCCTTGCCAAACCAAACGCGTGCCTATGATCAACATTGGCGGCATCTTATCGGCTCCAGATTACGTGGCTGCTTGTTCTTCCTGTGAATTGAAGGAAAAAAACGTTTCTCGTTTTCATTTCCTTTTTATTTTTTATTTGCGACTCTCATTACAAAGGAGAAAAACAAACGCGTATTTTAATTTTGAAAACGTCAAAGATTCAGTCTAATTAGTATCTACGCAAAGTTGAAACATTGTTTTACCGCCCCTTTAGAACAATTTAAATGAAAGGAAGCGGTTTTAATAGTACGTTTTTATGTTTTTATGTCTTTACTATTTATTAATTTATTTACAGACTACCTACATCGCCACGAGGGCATTACTGGCATGATATGAAAAGAACACTTGTTTCGTCCCTCAAACATAATGCATGAAAATACAAAGACGTGAAAACAAATTCACGTAGGATTAAATTACTCAAATATCACAACACAAAACTGCAGTACAAAAAATCGCTGACCACTATTATCAAAGAGTGTTTAAAAACCAAGAGGAAAACATGGCATTGGAAGTTTGAGTT